TGGGGCCGGGGTGGGGCCACATTCAGACACATAGCAGTGTTACGTAACGCTATAAGGGGTGGGCCGTGAGAATGTCGCCAGAGAGACAGTGTGATGTTTGCCGTCGCTCCGGAGAGAGGGAGAGAGAGTTGTTATGTTTTCGTAAAATGCCGCTGCCGCGCATTCAAATGAGCGACGGCCGCGGCGGCGTGATGTGATTTTAATAAGTAAAATATCGCCGCCGCCGCCGCCGCCCCGATTCGGTTCCCATGGCAGCGAATCTCTTCCTTCCCCGCGCGCGGCAGCGGCACGAGCAGCGCGTGTCGCGGGCCGGGGCGGGCCGGGGACGGCGTGGTGGCGCGGCGGCGGCTGCGTGCGGAGGAGCCACACTGGGCGTCGGGAGGGAGAGCGACGCTGTACCCGCCGCCGGCATTGCGCACGCAGCCGCGAGCACCAGCAGCACGCCTCCCGCGCGCCCCGCCCCGACGCGACAGACAATGCGATGACACCAGCGGTGCCAACCCTCCCACAGCGCGAGCAGCACACGCGCCGCCGCGGCGGCCCGGGGCGAGGCTTACCAACGCACAGGACATCGCCGAACCCGCCCCGCCCCGCCCCGCCCAGCGCTAGTCCTCAGGCGTCCTTATAGCGTGCGTGCTCCTCATAGATGGCAGATTATCAGCTCGTTGCAGCCCCGCCCCGCCACGCCCCCTCTGGTTCGGTAGCTAGCATTCAAATCGGGACAATGGCAAACCGATTCTTGCTGTGTTCGGCCGGAGGTGGAGAGGAAAGGGACGTGAAAGCAGCGCAAAGGCGGAAACGGAAAGAGCAAAACCTTTGGGGAACATCAAAGCCGGGCGTGATAAAGGAACCAGAAGAACGGACGGTCCTGCACTAATGAGTGTTTGTTGGAAGTTTTATTCCTGCGAGTATAACGGTGAGGCCCGGGGGGGGGAACAGCGGCGTCAGAAATGTCTCCAAGACGAGAGGAATAATTGCCGAGATAAGTCTGATGGGGGCTTTGCCGGCAGGGGAGCGCTGGAGGGGGAGGAGAGCGGGGCAGACGGGGAGGCTGCGCGGAAGGGGCTGGGCTGGGGGCGTCGGGAGGAGCGAAAGAGGAGACGCTGGACGATGTTCCGCCGCGCCTTATGCCGGGTCACACCTCAGTCTCGGCCCCTCATAAATATTCATCAAAAAGTAATTAATCATCGCAAAAGTTAGATGAGGAGCTTTATAAAACGCTACACGTTTACGTCCGGGGCCGCCAGAGGCCGCCAGAGGCCGCCACTGAGCGGTAAATAAAATGCAAATCTGACCGGGCCGCTCAGGGGCCGAGTGTCACGAGGGGTGTGGCGGGGCCGGGGCTGCCGCGTCACAATATTTGTACTTCGCGCTCTCTGTCCTCTTGTCCACGGGGGAGAGGGGAGGGGGCTAAACAGGCCAGGCCGTCTCGTCACCGCCTCCGATGGCGGAACTGTGAGTCGTCCCTGCTGCTGTGCGGTCGGTCGCGGTCGTCGGCCGCCTCGGGGATGGGGGTCAGCCTGCGCCGGAGGGGCGGATCGCGCTCGCGCTCCCGGTCCCGGGCGTGCCGGAGGTGGCCGTCCCGGGGACGCGGCGGGGTGGCCGCCCCCGCGTCCTCGGCCCGCTCCCTGCTGTGCTGATGGCCACTTCTCCGACGGACTTCCCTGGCCTCGGGTGCTTCCCCCCGGTGCGTCCGTCCGCCGACGTCGACTCGTCGTTGGCGTTGGGCAGTCGCCTCCCATTCGAGGTTGCGGTCGGCTCGCCGCTGCTGATGCTGCCCGGCGTCTTCTCGGTCAGCGTGCCTGTCTGCGGCCAGACGCTCAGAGTGTCCAGCCTCTGTTTCCCGATCCAACCGCCTGTTAGTTCGCCGCCGCTCGGCCCCGCCCTCGTTGTCCGTGGATCTGCTCGATTGCCTCTGGGATTGACCGTTAGAGTGCCTGCTGGAGTGTCTGGTCGAGTTTTCGCTCGAGTGCCTGCTAGAGTGCCCACTGGAGTGCCTGCTAGAGTGCCCGCCGGAGTGCCACTCATTCTCGGAGTGGCCTTGCGGGCGCCGGCGGTGATGTCGGCTCGAGGTGCTGGAGTGCTCGAAGAGCTTCGCAGTGGCCGCGGCGTGATCAGAGTGACGGTGCCTCTCCCGGTCCTCCACCCAGGGTGACTCGGAAGAGCTGACAGCGACGTGGTGTCGATGACGGTGTCGGTGACTGCGAGTCTCGCTGCCGGGTCCGGAGGCGGACTCGGACGCGGACCTGGAACTTCGACGGGAGCTGGCCGAGCTGGGCGGTGGAGTGTGACGACTCGGGACGGCCAAGCAGTCCGTCTCGCTGGAGGACGCGTTCAAGTCCACGGCCACCCTCCTCGACGGCGACCTGCCCCTGCCTCCGGACGGCGCCGTGCGGCGGTGCGCGGCCGGGAAGTCCCTGGTCCTCGACGGCAACCCCACGCTGTCGTCGCAGTCGTTCCTTCGTTTGGGCGTCCTATCAGACACAGAATTGCGCTTTACTGCCGCAAAGAAGAAAAGCCCCTTTGCCCACAGCCGTCCGAGTGTCTCACCTCAAAAGGCGCGCCTCGGTGTGCGGAGTCAGCCCGGGTCTCGTTGATGGCAGGCTCTCGACGGGGCGGCCGTGCCCCGCCGTCTTGACGAGGCGCTTCGTACGGAGCTCGCGCTCGACGACGTGGTGTGTCGGTGTCGTTCGCGCCCTGGACCAGAGGGACGCGGCATCCGACGGTGAGCTGCTGTCGCTGCCGCTACTGCTCTCCTTGGGCGCCGCTGGCGTTGGCGCTGGGGCCACACGGTGGCGCTGGGCTGCGTGGCGCTCAGCGCGGTGCGCCCCAGGGTGTCGCGTCGGCAGCAGCGCCGCGGGCCCCGGGTACACGACGTCGTCGTCCTCTGTCTGGGCGGCACGGCTGGAGCGGTACCGGATCCGAGAAGATCGGGGGTCGCCGTCGAGCCTCTGGTCGACACCATGACAGCTACTCGGGGTGAAGGATGCCGTGAAGGGTCCCGGGGGCGAGAGGCGCGCCTACCTGGGCGTGCGTGGCCTGCATCATGAAGATGCGCTGCGCCTGCGGGGGTGGCGTGAGCTCGGTGCCGATGGCCTTGTTCACCATGAACGTGCGCCTCGCTGGTGGTGGCACCGGCGGCATCCCCGCCCAAGTCCTGGTGCCCGCCGCCCAACCCTGCCCCAGCAGCCCCAGCCTGAGCCCGTCACCCGCCGTGTGCTTGGCCACGGGGCAGTGGGGCGCGCGGGGGATGCTCTCCGCCGACGGCGAGGTGGAGACGGTCACGTGGTGGTGCTTAGTGGAGGCCGGCCCGATCGTCATGCCCCGCATGCGCGCGTACACCGCCTGCACCTGCGGCAGGCCGTCGAGTTGCTCATCCCTTCCTCACCGTCAGCGGGCATGCAGACCTCGGCCGCGGCCGCGGCGGCGCCGACCTGGGAGCCGAGTGACGGCCGGGCGAGCACCTCGGGTCGGTAGTCCAGCGCCGACTCCTGCGACACGGGCGTCCGGTTGTACAGCTGCTGCAGCGGGCGCGCGGGGGCGGGCGGGGCTGGCGGCGGCACCAGCGCGGGGGCGGGGGCGGCGACGGGGACCTGGGGGCTCCTGCCGCAGGCCCAGCACTCGGCATTGGGACCCCCTGCGCAGCGTTGTTCGTAGTTTTCGATCGAAAAACTGCGGGGGAAATCGCTCTCTTTTCGTTGTTGCCGGAGCGTCCGGCCCGGGT